AAGAGTAAGTTAGATAAATGTCTATCAGGGATGGTCTAGACAGTATTTGGTCCTGCCATGCGGGCAGGGGACTGGACTCGATGACCTCTCGAGGTCCCTTCCAGTCCTAGAATCTATGAATCTATGAAAAAGGAGGGGGAATAGTCACTGCACCAGCCAAGGAAGAAGGTGGTGGAGGAAGCGCAGCTCCCCCAAGCCAGGGAGAGCACAAGATACTGAACTGTGCACTGTCCCCCCACACTCCATTTCTTTAACCTGTGGATCAGAGTTTTGGTCTGGCTCTTTATTGTGTGGATTGTGTTTTCACTGTATTAGCTGTGACACATCTGCTTGAGTTACGTTGCATTGACCTGTGCTGCATACAGCAGCACATTGCATGTGGTAAATAATAGCACAGTATCCCTTACAGAAATAGAAGTAATGCAGCATCCATGCCCTGCATGTGCCATATGCAGCCATTGCAGGTGAAATATATTTGAATGCAGAATGCATTTGGCATGTTGGCCCTTCTTTGAGGGGTGGCACCACTCCAAAATAGAAGGCTGACTATAATGTCTTCCCTGCTATGTATTTGCTGTCTGTGGGCATTGGATCGGAAGCAGAGCCAGTAGACGGAAACAGAACAGTCCGAGAAGAGCCTGACCAAATGGGTCAAGCTTTGCTCTAGATGACATGCTTTGGTGACTACCCTGATTTTACTATATGTTTTAATTTTAGAATGTATGTAGCACAGAGCACTCATCACATCTTGTGATCTAGGGGGGAAAAAAGCACTTTGAATAGGTGTGGGAGACCGACAGATTTGCATCCTGATGCTGAACTGAGCTTTTGGCAGCACACCACTTCAAGGGAGATTAGATCTGACAGCATGAGCCAGGCGGGTCACAGTATCCTGCAATGTAGGTGTTGGGATCTGTTAACATGATGGGTCAATGAGAGGGCCATTAGAACGTGAAATGAAACCCAACTGAGTGACTGAAGGAAGGGCATCGGTTGGCACTAACTTGCAGAAGGTGACTGGAGGTGGGTTGTTGGCTTAGTTGAAGATGTACTGCTTCTAAATATAAAAATGACGTTCTAAAACAGCTGCTGCAGCTTCTCACAGCAGAAGCTTTGTACTTCAAAATAAGCTCTAGATTTTTGGAGGCATTTTTTGTAGTATCATCACAGAAACTCTTCACATTCTCAACAAGGCTATTAAAGATAGCACAGGATGAAAAAGCAACAACAGGAAACAAAAAACAGGTTGCCATTTAGGAGTAATAAACAAAGCATTTTCTATTCATCCAAAGAAAATTGTTAGGTTCAACTTCTGTCTTACAGTTCTCTTCAGAGTGTATTTGAAAAGGAGAGCGATGCAATTGGTAAATGCTGAAGTATTTTTTTCTCCCCAATGTTCATCATGCCATTAGAATATCCCTTTGAGGCACCTAATGAAAGTAATGAATTTGAGTCTCATTTCATCGGACATAGCCTGTGACATCATGTCAGTAGCTTGTATCACTAGAAGATCTCTTCCAATTTCAGACTATTGATCTAAAGAGACTCAGCAGCAATTATTTCAATAAATAAACTAAAATAAACAAAATTAAAAATCCAAAAGGGTTGGCATTCCCTCCAGGACCCTAACCCCAACAGCATGCAGTAAAACTAAGATTTATTTTTAGCAATAATCTTTGTTAGTCCAGACTTGTCTGTGGTGAGACCAGGAAAAAGATTTTAATATGTTGCTTTATTTATAAAATACAGCAAAAAGGAAACTGAAATGGAATATAGAATGAAAGAGCTACTTCCTTGGTGAGTCTGGTGAGGGAGGGATGGAGGGAAAGGAGAATTGTGGAAACACTAGGAATCTGGGGACCTTTTATGGTCCCCATTACTATTGTATCTGAGTGCCACACACAATCTGTAATGTATTTATCCTCACAATGCCATAGCATAGGGTAGTGCTGTCAATCTTATAGTACAGGTGGGGAACTGAAGCCCAGCAAGACTGAGAGATTTGTCCAAAGTCACACAGGAAACGTGTGGAGGAGTAGGGACTTGAACCCAGGTTTCCTAAGTTCTAAGTGTGTGCCTTAACCACTGGACCCTCCTTTCTGTCAGGTTTTTTGCATTATAATTGCATAAATCTTAGCACATTTTTCAGAGAATCCTTTTTCAGAGACTTGCAGGTTTTCCATTCTCACCTGCTTTTATGATAACGGTGCCCAAACTCATAAGGTCCTGAAAGACTTTGGCAGGAAGCTCTTGTGAATACCCCAAATTCCCCAAGAGGTCACTAGGAGTTGGAGATGCTGAGCACGAGGGCTGAATTTTGCCATTGTTATGCATGCACATCTCCTACTGCATGTACATTGGCAAGGTTCACTCTTAATTTTTAACATGATCCAAGTTTTCAAAAGGGGCTGGTGATTTTTGTGAAACTCTGTTTTGGGGTGTTCATCCTTAGACATCTTAAAGGAGCCTGCTTTTCTGAAAGTGTTGAGCATTGTTGTCTGAAAATCATATTGTTTTAAGGCACCTCAAAACAACCGAGGCACCTAAGATCACTTTTTAAAAAGCAAAGCCATATATATTTTTCAGGATAACACTTGTGTCACAAGATCTTTTGGTAGGCCTGGCAACAATTATGTTTTTGTCAAATGTGAATAGAATCTCTTTATTTGCCTCTTATTTCAGGAGAGAATAAACAAATTAAATGATTTTTTTTCAGTTTCTAGCAAAAGAAATAAAAGGTCAAACCTTAAAATTGAAACGTGGGAGTCACTTTTCTTTAATTGGGAGCTAGAACCTTTCAGCACTGGAGAGACAATTAGTTTCAATGCGTACAAGCAATTAATATTCAGAAAGTGGCTTTGGGGCACCCACACAGCAGTTCTATTTTTCCTTAACATTATGGGTTCAGGTCTGCTGACTCAAGACTTCCAGCAGAGCTCTGCTGGGATCCTACTGGGCTTTTGGAACTGATGTGATGTAGGTGGAAAAAGCTTACTTGGCTGGTATTATCACCCATTTCTGCTTACAGGAAGGCAAATTGCTATTGTACACAGCTTATATCCCATTTGCCCCTCCACCCCCCGAGTTTCAACTGAAGTTTTTGAGAATGAAAAATATAAATGTTGTGGGGGATGGTGGTTGGCAGCCAGTGACTACTGAAGTCTCTGGTAAACCTCAGGGCTTCCTGCACTGATATTGGGTATTTGGTTTCAGATGAGACCCCGGGTGCTCTCAGTTTCCAGGCTGAGGCTATGTCTACACTACACTGCTTTTTGCGATATGTCTGTCTTGCTATAGCCATGCCGCTAAAAATCATGCAGTGTAGCCGCTGTTTGTCGGCTCTCCTGCTGACAAAAACCTTCTATCCCCGATGAGCGGTGTGTTGTCGGCAGGAGAGCACTCTTGCCGACAACACGCCGTTCACATTGGCACTTGTCGCAGCAAAACTTTTGTCTTTCGGGGGGGGGGGGGAGGAGGGGAGTGAGTAACACCTCTGAAAGACGAAAGATTTGTCATTCAATTGCCAGTGTAGACATAGCTTGAGAGATAGTCAAGCCCCAATAAGAAGTTAAGCTGTCTTTTTTTTTCCAGCAAGTGATCACCATTTGTCTGAAAACTGTATGTGGAGTATGGACTGACTGTTTCCATTTTTAAAAATTATAACTAATGGTCAGTAATCCAAGAGGTACTTATGGCCACATGGGTAGCAGGAGGGGTCCTTGTCCTCTTGTGACTGCTCCACAAAGAGGTTTATATATCTGTTACTGCTTCCAGTTGATGGCATAGTCCTTAAGTTCAAGGAGTAGAGACTCATGCTTTTAGCACTGAATGTCCTGGTTTCAAACACTCTCCTGGCCCAGGCTGGGCCATTTACGTAGGCATTGAGCTATTCCTTGACTCTAGGGAATAAGAAG